TTTTTTTTTTAGATTCTCAAAATATGAACTCAATGATTCATCTTTGATTGAAAATTTTATTTTTCGACGTATATCGAGATTCGTCATTCCTTCTTTGCCAAGATTCGCTGCGATCTAATGTAATTGTTGTAATTGCGACTCTATCTTAGAATTTTTGAAAAATAAGAAATTAAAAAGACGTCGAAAGATATAGTTTTTTAAACTTTTTAAAATTTGAGCACAACGAGTCTTTCACTTTTTATTCTGCAAATCGCAACGCGAAGCCCAAAACCGTGATATTATTTATATAATTAACCTTTAAAAAATTCTCTCAAGAGATTAAAGACTTGAAAATTCTGATCGTTTAATATTTTGGAGCTCGAAAATTTGAATACAGACACGATCTGTCGACTTCCTCTCACCAATATTACGCACGCATATATTGCACGTGCCAGACCTAGTCGTCTGACGCTTACAGGAAATCCCGCCTTAAAGAAGATCGTCGAATGCCCATCCATCCGCCTCCGCCATGTATCACGTCGCGCATGGAAATTGGGACTCGAGTACAATTATGCATCGCGTCGAAAAGTAGCGCCTCTATTCCACCATATTTTCACGATATTTTTAGAATATCATCATATATATATATATCGCGAAACATCGAAATGTTTTTTGAAAATTTTTAAGTTAAAGCTTTTTAGAAACGTCGAAATAGATTTCATTTCCTGCTCTAAGTGAATCTATACCGTTTCTATCCAATTGTTAAATAGTGGAGCACGCGCGAAACTATTGTTCAGTGAAACCGGCATGCTTACTCGATGGACGTATTTCTATTCTCCAAAGAATCTCATACGCGTCATATCGATCAACCTTACCTTGTTTATCTTTCGCCAATTACTCGTTATTGCTTCCTTGCGTCCGTGTTTGAACCCTTCACTTGTGACTGGATAATTACATTGGGTTTGGTAAGGTGCAAAGTACGGGGCGTAATCTGATGAAAGCTTTCGGTAAATTGAAATTAAAGGTGGAGAGTGTTTATTCTCTGATAATTGTTGATTAATTAATTCTTCTCTTCTCTCGTCGTCCGAGAGATACATATTTAATTTTTTGAAAGCGCGACACGAAATAATAATGCAGAAATAATGTAGATATTTATTATACTAATTGTTTAATCTTTATATTAATATGTATTTCTTAGACAAAGAATAATTCTTCTTCTCGTTTTGATGAATTCATTCTTAGAGAGAGAGATTATCGTAACATTTCTTTTCTCTTTTTTCCCATCGAAATTACAATTCTAAACGCAATAATTTCCGAATAAATTTAATTTCATATGCCGATACATATTTAAAAAAAATCTGTTAAAATAATTACCTGTAAAATTTCCTCTTAAAAGAGATTAAACTCATTAAAATTTGTTTCCACGAGCGATTTAAATAAAAATCCAGTTTAAAGTAAACGACCAAAACTGTACAATTGTCCATATGAAAAAAGAAGGAAAAAAAAAAATAAAATAAAAGTAAAATCGGAACAAAAGAAAAAAAAAGTAAAAGGGGGAAGAGAAAAAAATATACAACGTCGAGTCCCAAGAGTACCGTATTGGCCACGCTCTTCAAACATCACGAACCGCCCCCATTTTTTAATTTAAACGAAAAGTAATCCCGCGTCGTTGGCCGCATTGTCGCCGGGTTTTGTCCAGCTCTCAGCCTCGGGCCACGGTCGAATCGCAGAAATGGAAAATTAATGCGTGCCACGATCTTAGCGGATGGCCGCGCGCGGAAAAACTGGGTCACCAGGGCCGAGCTTCAGCGG